TCATTTAACATTTCATCACGTTCATTTAACATTTTATTACGCTCATCCAGGAGACGTTGTAATCTTCGGTTTTCTTCTAATAAAGATTTATCAGGGGAAGGAACACGTTCATGAGAACGACGATGAGCAGTGGCTTGATGGGAAGTAGCATGAGCGGAGGCATGATGAGTGGTTGGAGCAGGAGGAGAGGCAGATCGTGTTATTGTAGAAGATTTAGAACCGGATTGTTTTACCGATTTTAGAGTACTTGGTTGTTTTTCCCTTGAGGTGACAGTCCTACCATGAGGAGTAGCTGATCTCTTGAGTGTAGGTACGGGAGAACTTGATCTTATTGTTTTTTTAGAGACAGCTTTATTTCCCTCTATTTTAGCAGAAGGGGAAGGGGTGTTAGGTCTCGGAGAAGGATTCTAATAATAAATTCAAACATATTGAATGTTAATAAAATTTTGTTGAGAATATTCCAATCGAAAAATTTTTACCTTAAACGTACTGTATTGTAGCGCGGTCTTGATACCGTGATACTTGACTATATGAATATTACCTTCTTTTTAGCCTCGGATGAACTTTGTATTCCTTGATATGTCTCCTAAAAGATAATATTTTATTTTTATTTTTATTTTTTTTTATGTTAGAAATTATTATAATACAATTATAAAAACAGATCATGATAAATAAAAAATTAATAATCACCTTTGTTACTGAGGCCTGCATGCTATATATGCTATTGGTTCGGTTTGATGTGACCTAAAAATACAAAGAAGAGACCAATAATTAAAAAAAAAAGATATTCAAAAAAAAAAACATTATATATATATATTATTACTACTACTACTACTATTATCAGTTATATCATATTATTTTTGTATATATATAATATACATATACATACATATGTATATATGTACGTAAGGTATATATATATATATATATTATATTTTATATTATTTTATTTTATGTATATATATATATATTTAATTTAATTATTATCTATTCAATTTACTTATAACGTGACCTAATGCTGCGCTTCTAGGTATAATCACATGCAGTTTTAAGTTTATGCCCAAATTTTTTTTTTCCTAACTTTAATCTAAATTTTTCCCCCTTAAAGGCACCCCCTAAATATATTTTTATACATACCTGTTTTCCTAGTACGTCCTTATTCGGGAGATGTATGGAAGGTTTTGAAGAACGCACGGCAGTTGATGAGGTAGCTGGCATAGTTATTATTAACTTTAATCATAAAGAAGGTCATAATAATAAAAGAAAAAAAAACATAGAAAAAAAGTAGATTAATAACTTGCGGAAAAAAAAATCTATTATTTTAATAATATTAATAACATTTTTAGCAATATTAAATAAAATATAATAATAAAATTAACCGAAAAAAAACAAAGTCAAAAATGTATAGGTAAAAAAAAATCGATCGGGTAAATAAAAAAAAACCGAAAAAACGGCAAGATAAAAGAAAAAAAGAAGAGATACTAATATGATAAAAT